TCATTATTATTATCATTACTGTTGATATGTGTGTGATAGGCATGTCTAACGGCCATTTATAGAAATACAGAACAAATTGCGTCCCTTATCGGTTCAATATGGGACACAACATTTAATAGGCAAATTCGGGACGATTCCCTATTTTACGGGACGGGTGGCAACCCTAATCAAAGGGTTCAGAGGTACATGACTAGAATCGTCACTACCAACTATTGATTTTATAACAAGGCAAAGCCTTGGCATTATTAGTGGTTCACTTATAAATGTTTATTTACACACCAGATAGGTGATGTAGAATGTGTTCTAGGTTTTAGATGATGTTACAATTTCATTTTCAGTAGCCAGTATGATACAAGTTATTTTGGAAACTACATACTTGCCAAGTTTTGTATTTGAAAATAATGGTGCTACTGACAGAACGGGGTGACATAATTATGTTATAATACGGGAATTTTACAGGAAAATACTAATACGGGAGCATGTCGGGAAAGCGAGGCAAAATATTCTAGTTTACTGGTCAACATGGGAGACTTGACTGGTATGAATTCAGTTATTTACCATGCTTTGAAAAAAGTATTCAAATTCTTACAGTTCTTTTATGTTTGATTATTTTGACATTTTATTGGACAAAGATAACCTGAGCAAAAGCTGTGTTAACCTGTCATTCACGAGAGGACCCAAATTTGGGTCCTCTCGTGAATGGCAACCTGTGAATGACAGGTTAAATGCTCATTTCATTTATGAAGGCAAGAAACACAATCCAAACCAACCTGACCCATGCCAAACCTTAGTAGCCTATATGCCATGAGTAGTGGTGATCTACTTCTGTTTAAATTTAAGCCACATCGGTAGAGGATGTTGATGCAGCATTCATCAGGATATTCTACCTGTTTCACAGTTTCACAATGGTAGATGGCACATGTTCATCTGCTAAATTCCCTAATCAGAACATCCTACCTCTTTGAACATGGTGAAGCACTAAATTATTTAATCAAAATACCTGAAAAATACAGTATGTGAGTAGCTTATATCGGTGCATCAAGACCCTGCATCAGAAGAGCCTACCTTTTTAAAATATTTAAAATGCAGAGGTGTTTGTAAGTAGTTTGTAAGAATAAAACTGCTTCAGATAGGGGAAACAAGATTTTATTGAAATTAAATTAAGCACAGACAAATACAGATCACCGCAAAATCGTTTTTGCCCATTAATACATTATATAGCACTCTTTATCAAATGCAACACAGTCAAAATGTGTCCTCCGAACTGTGCAGGTTCTGTGCTATGCTTAATATACACTAATATTACACTGTATACATACACAGCTTCAGTCCCACATAATGTCGCTACCGACATGCTCTTAGCATGGTTTATTAAAAAGAAGTATTATTAAACTAAAATATTTTAAAGTATAGGGACAGAAAAGCTCACAAAAACAACGTATTTTGTCCTTATTAACATTAACACAGAACAATGACTTTATTGTTTACAGTTTACAGTACAGTAGTGACAACTCGGATGGCAAACTAATGCCATTTATAAATATGTTTACAGGCTGCCTGTCAGGTAAACTTAAAAACTTAAAACATGAAGAAATACAGCAGCTTAATGAAAGCCAGATATAAAATAAATTAAAGAAAGCTTACCTTAATCTTTTACAAAATAAAAGAGACAAAACGAAACTTCCACAGGTAGGATGTATCGATAAGAAATCTGGTGAGTAAGCAGTATGAGACGTAGTATGCGTATTACCACAAGGTAGGATGGATTAATGGGTAGCACAGACAGTCAGAACACTGGCCCTAGTGTATTGGAGTTTGACGCCCGTGTTACACCAATGTGGCGTGTCTACTTTGGAGCTAACGTCTTGATTTAGTGTAGTCAATTGGGATTCCTTTTTGGGATATCCTTTCTGTAGAACTGTCTACAATGTCAAGACAGGACACATGAGAAGCAAAAAAAAGAAATCTGTTATGTACTGCTTGTGTTTTGACTGACAGGCTATCTGAACGTGCTGTCCAATAACCGTTGGCGAGAGCGCTGGTGCCGCCTGAAAGACAACCAGCTACTCCTCCACAAAGACCGTGATGACCTGAAGAGCCACATTGCCTCACTGCCCCTTCGAGGCTGCGAGGTCAACCCCGGCCTCGACCACAAACACCCTTTCGCTTTCCGCCTCCTTCGTAATGGCCAGGAGGTGGCGGTGCTGGAGGTGAACTACTGATAGGACTGAAAGACACTTAGTAAAGAAGAGATGCATTGCACTCATGTATTATTACTATGTTCTCTGGTTTTTCTTGAGGCCTCCTCCTCTGAGATGATGGGGCGTTGGTTAGGGGTGTTATTGGCCGAGACTGGCTCTACCACTGACCCAGCCACTCTGCACTATGACTACATTGATGTGGAGACCACTGCCAACGTCATTCAACTGGCCAAGCAGTCCTTTTGGTGAGCAGAACAGCATTTGCTTGCTCTTTTTAGGTTTGTTGTCTCCCTCTTCATGAGCAGCCATGTAACTTTATGCTTCTATCTCTTCAGTTTCACTAGTAAACGTGCCATCTCTCCAAATCCATATCTTGACAGCCAAGTCAATGGCTATGCCTGTCCCTCTGGTATGGCTCTACACTATGATGATGTGCCTATAAATGGAATGGTAAGGACACCTGTGCACTTTTATTGCAGTGTTTTATAACATTTCTCATAATCTTGAACATTCAAGTTTTCTTCTCCCTTTGCAACAACAAACTTCATTATGTTTTACTAGAGCACAGACACATATTTGGTTATTAAATGAATGTTAATGCAGCTTTTCTTTGAAGGACTCAAAGGTTTGCTGGAGAACATTGACCAGTTTCTCCAGGATTTCGCAATTGTTTTTATGATTTTTTTTGACAATCAGAGAGACCAATTTCTACTTTAGAAACATTTGCAAGGAATTTTGTGATATTTCTTCCTCATTAGACCCATTCCAAAATCTACAGATAGAAGAAAAAATTGATTTTTTTTTCTTCTATATGACATATTGACATATTGGACAAAAACATTTTTCTTCTTTAAAGAATTTAAATAGCTCAATTTTTGTTACGTGCCTTATTGATGATAAACTGTAATTGACATATAATGTAAGGTTGATGCAACTAAGTAGTACAAGTAGTCATGTAAGCCCAATATTTTTGACTAAATCATCATTCTCCTACTTCTTCTTGCCATCTTGGTTGTTTCCATTGCAGTTTTACGAAATACATCGATTTTGATGCGTCTGAAAAACCACCTTACCTTAGCGCAAAAACATTTTATCAAAAAAATGTCAGTTGTTTTTTAATTGGTGTGTTTCCATCAAGCGGATTTATTTTTGTACTCTCAAATTGTGCAATTTTATGATTAATGGAAGCACATGTCATGTTCATCAAATATCCAGCTCAAACGTATCTTCACCACGATACTAAAACTAGACATTTGGAAGGAATGAGAAGAACTCTTCAACCAAATGTGATTTTAGTGTAGAGTGGACAGGGTCATTGCCAATCCCTCTCCAATCTACAGTCAGATGTTTGTGCTAAACACTAACATCCATTCATTCGTTCAACCTCTATTTAATCTGGTAAGCTATTAAGAACATGTTCTTATTTACAATAACAACCTGGCAGGGAAGAAAAGGAATTATTGAGAACAAACAACAATATTATACAGTTTTTAGGCATAAATCCACCTAGACACATGGGGCCGAATGTAAAGACTTGGATGATTAAAATAATCAGATGATTATTTGTGAAAAATGTTCAAAAAAATTATCATGAAATCTTAAAACAAGGACTTGAAATACTTTTCATTGGAATGTAACTTTTAGTAATATCTGACCCATCAAGATAATGGGTAAACATTGCCCATCCATTAATGGATGTCCATTAATTTTAATGGGTAATGTTAGGGTTGAGTGGATAATGTTTACCCATCCAGATAATGTTACATATTGACTTCCTGCTTGTACTAACTGTGACCTCTCCTCCTTCCTGTCATCCTGATTTTGTTGTTGTTTCTCTCTTTTGTTCTCATTCCTCTTCCTCACCTTGTTTGCTTGCTTTCCTCGTCTAACTCAAGGAACTTGAGTTGCAGTACTCCACTCCCACCACAGGGCGGGGCCAGACGAAAGAGGAGGTGCAGCAAAAGAGCACAAATCTGTATGAAAATATGCCATCACCTCAACTGGTGATGCGCTATCCCCCCAAAGCTTCCTCTGCTCCCACTTCCTTCTCCTCCTCTTCTGCTGCTCACTGTAAATCTTCTGTTTCTAAAATCTCCGCTCAATTCCTCACTGCTGACCATAAACCTTTGGACTCCACTCAGGTGACTAACATTCTGCTGCTTAACTAATAAACTTATCATACAAACTCTTCTGCATTTATTCCTTTTTTAATCCTCACTAATCTACTCCTCACCGATGACTTTGTTCTTGCATTCCTTCCACTATATTTTCTGTTTCCCTCAGATCATCTCATAGATAATTTGCTTTTCACATTGTTTGCTAATTTAAACTATGTTTTATGGTTGTGTGATTATCTTTTCCTTTAATATTTTTTACATTACGAGCTTCCTTCTGCAACCATATATGGCACCACACAGGCTATTATGGAGCTCTACCTCTTACCCACCACCCTTTGATGTGTGGGCTGTGTAGTGCCGCCAGTAACTGTAACAGTGACCATAGACCACAAAGTGTTGCTCTGTTGAATAATGAAGGCTGTAGAGGTGGACAAAGGTTTTTATTTCAGAAGGATTCACCTATTTTACTACATTTGCAATATACTATTATTCAAAGTATAAACCAAATATTAATTAGCTTATACAATAATAACTAAACTCATGCAAAATCATAATTCATGGAAAAACTAAGAATCCTAAATATTTGGATAATGTGGGTTACACGAAAGATCTCAGTCAACCAGTCAGCTGACAAACCAGTACAGCGTTCCAGTTCCCTTGACTGTGAGACACTGTTGTTCTGGTTTTATTGTCCACTTATGTAAAGTTGTGGTTAATGTTAACTCCAATTAGTTGCAATTTACAGCAACAATGTTCGTAATAAAAGGCTTCGATCATTTCATTTTTACGACACTGCACTCATTGTACTGAGGTGGCGGATGCTGTGAAGCACAGCATGAGCATGAAGAACAGAGAGAATCTACTCTGTGTTGTGAGTTTATGGAAGATGAAGCCCTGAAAGAAGATTTTTACTTTTTTTTTTTCTCGGTATGTAAATCAAGATATATAATTTATTTTAGAAATGGTTTTAGATGAACATTTAAAAGTTTTATGAACATTTTCACAGGTATAAAGTATCAACTGTGGGACTTTTTAAATTATTGAACTGTGGTACTTGTGGCTTTCTATACATCCTGTGGTCCAATATTTTAGGTAGCTGAGTTATAATTGCATTTATCATCTATCCATTTTCTATACGCCTTTATCCCTTAATGGGGTCGGGAGGGTTGCTGGTGCCCATCTCCAGCTAACGTTCCGGGCAAGAGGCGGGGTCACCCTGGACACCTGTCCAGTCTGTCACAGGGCAACACAGAGACAGACAGGACAAACAGCCATGCACACCCCCCCCCCCAAAAAGATGAAAATTAGATGGAAATCGTAAAGTCCTCTTTCAAAGAACCACTTTTGCTCAAAGTGCTCTATCCGTGAGAAGATCTGCAGTTTGGAACTCACTTCCTGTTGAGTTAAAGTCCATGACCACTTTTAGTACGTTCAGAAAACAAACAAAACTCTGATTATGTCAAAAACAGAACTGTACCCATATATAATGTTTTATGTTTCACTGTTTGTTTGTATATGTTGTCAACATTATTTTGTGCTATTTTAAATGATTATCACTTAAATTTTTTAGAGGTATTGTTTAAAAGCCCATCTAGGAACAAGTGCTGCGAATTAGCTGTTGCTATTGCACCATGACGCAAAAAGGAACTGCTGATTTGCTCAGTTTGTCGATGTGTGTCTGTCCCTATCAAATAAACTTAATAATAAAAAAACATCAGGGGTGTTCTGTGGTGGCGCAGGGGTTAAGCACAACCCACATATGGAGGCCTTAGTCCTCGACGCAGCTG